CTAGGACCACTGCATAGGATCCCTTTGGTACAATGTTTTCTTTTGATCAATAATATCATTGATGATACTGGAAAGCACGTCTGGAAGACATATACGAGTTGAAAGTTGGCCATTTGCTGCTCTTTTTCTTTTGCAATGGAAGTGCTGATTGCCGAAAGAATCTCGTTGTAAAATGGTAGATCCAATGTAGAGAGGTATTTCATTTTCAACTTTTCAAGCATGCAACCAGGACCCTTTTTTATTACTTACATTTCCATCATCATACATTTGCTTCACATCGTCTATATAACGTTGAATATACTTTTTTCCATACGTTTTTCCTTGAACAGACCTTATTGCCCAACCTTTCTGAAACATTCGTAACGTTTCTCAGGTTCAAGATCAAAATTACTACCTAAATTACCATCATTGATACGTTGAATATATTCAACAGATCCTCCATCCAGTAGGTTCAGGAAGACCCCGGATTTAGCTCCGTTACGTTATTAGAGAATCAATGCAAAAATGTTTAGCCAATTATCTTTTTTTTCGGCTTAAATAGCCCCGTGGGACTGAGAAAAAATTTGTACCCCGGATGTATGCATTACGTGTTAAAAATTGTCAAAATGGGTGGATTTGAATAATATGAAATAAGATCGGTAATGTATTTAAAAAATAATCAAACAACACAACTAAAACAATTACTTTAAAAAAATGTGTCTCACAAAATCGTTAAGAAGCAAAACAAAATAGCTGACAGAGAAAAGAGACAAAGTTAAATGGTCTGTGATGACGATTTGTTAATTTCTTTCTTGAATTTCGCGCAAAGCTGCTCGAGTGCTATATGCGCTAGCCGTTCCTAATTTAGAAGTAGTAGACTAAAGGGAAGGCAGCTAGTCATCAACATCCACCGCCAACTCCTTGGCTACTCTTTAATAACGAATATTTGGATTGACCGTCACATTGTAACGCTCATACGACTGAGAGAACGGGGATGTTCAGTGATGGTATTCGAACCCGGGATCTGCAGATTGTACGTCGATCGTCCTAACCACTGTGATAATGAAATTTGAAGTTAATAAAATTCAGTGACAGCATTATAAAAAATTAAAATTAGTCCCACAAAAATATTCAGAGTTGTTTTCAGTAACGTTCTCTCTTTTCCCTTTCTTTAAAAAAAATAAAATAAATAAATAAACTTATACGTTGCTTATACGAATACCATCACTGGTCGAAACTAGTCCGGTTGATATGTGGAGCTGAAACGGAAGGCCTTCCGAGTGTGACCTCCCCATGTCACCCTCAGAAACCCTTATGTCTTCCCCCTTTTGTTGAAGAGGTACGTCAGTTTATAACTCTGTACTCTGTACAACCTTCCTATATATGCTCTATTAAGTTAAGTATGAACAGTCATCATACAAAGTTATCGATGTTTGTTTGTTTGTGCGCTAGCGTCCCTAAGTTAGCAGTATAAGACTAGAGGGAAGGCAGCTAGTCATCACCACCCACCGCCAACTCTTGGGCTACTCTTTTACCAACGAATAGTGGGATTGACCGTCACATAATAACGCTCCCACGGCTGAAAGGGCGAGCATGTTTGGTGTGACGGGGATTCGAACCCGCGACCCTCAGATTGCGAGTCGAGTGACTTAACCACCTGAAGCTCTGATGGGGAGCGTAATATAAAATGTTCACAAATATTCTAAGCTTGACGGCGTGAAAATACTATTGTTCAATTTTGAGAAATTCGGTATACTTTTACATTTGATAAATTACTACATGCTCCATATCTTTATTTTCCTCGTAACATATCTACATCGAAAATGTCCCCCAGTGGCACAGTGGCATGTCTGCGGACTTACAACTCTGGAAACCGGGTTTCGATACCCGTGGTGGGCAGAGCACACATAGCCCATTGTGTAGCTTTGTGCTTAACTTTTTGCGCGAAATTCAAAAACAAACAAAAAACAAACAGAGCTTCAGCAATAAGCTAGAGGACTCATAACCCTAAAATTCTAAGTTTGACCCCTGTGATTGGCAAAACGCAGATAGCCCATTGTACATCTTTGTGCTTAATTAAACAAACAAATTAAAAAAAAACATTTCTCACTGGTGACCAAAAATCTATTTATCAGTTTGAAGTTGTGGAGACAGTAAATAAAGGGGAATTTTGGTCCCTGAGCTAAACATTAAAAATATGTTTTATTATTTAACCAAGGTTAATTCGATTATTTACTTAATAAAAAACAGTGACTCACTTACCAAAGTATAGTGGCGATTCTCTAGTAGCTACATTATCGTCTATGTATGGGATTCCCAGAGTATACACTGCCATGGCACCAATACCTATGAAGAGAAGACTCACAAAGAAAATGGCAAGAACTGTTTTGGTAACTCTTTTGTACTGCGCCGGTGCGTCGGAAGTGTCGCAGTAACTCCCTCCATGGTTCCAGTAGGGTTCCGCTTGAGGAACGGGATAGGAAATATTATCTGAAGACTGAACGTACTGGTTGATGGAACTGTTGGAGGACATGGTGGAGGTCAAACCTTCAATGGCGTGAGATGAATCTTCCCAGGAAGGAGGTTTAGTCGACGACTGTTGAATGGCTACATGGCACAACTCAGAATGCAGCTGACGTACAGTTAACGAGGAGCTGTTATCGTCATTCCTGAGAGAAGGCGATACAAAGAACTCCTCACTGAAAAGAAAGTGAGGAGCGGAACACAAAAAACATGCTATTGCACACAACAAAGTCCCACAGGCTATCCATCGTGGCCGATGCCCTAGTCCACCATAATAGGTTAACAACAAAGCGCCACCTATCTGTCCACTTTCTGTGGCTGACATTACAATACCAGCTGTCTTGCTTTGAATCTGATAGCGTTTTTCTATTGTAGTTAGAACACTGACAAAGTATGTGTAATACATGCCCTGAAGGACACTGGTGAGACAGAACACTACAAGGAACGCTTTCTTATTAGCGAAAGGCTGGAGCCATTTTGGTCGACAGGACCATAGCTCACAATAATACTTTTCTGTTTCTTCGCAATTCACTTCTTCTACTGCACCTCCTGTTTCATTAAATGCCTGAAGAAGTCTGGTGCTACTTTCCTCGTGATGCACAGCTGTAACTTTATGTCCACCATTAACAATTACACCGTTCAAACCCGGATTCTCTCCATCTGGGCTCATGGGTCTAATACCCTCGTTATCGAGGTCGTTTTTATTGTCAGTCTTCATTCTTAGAAACAATGAGCGCCACCTGTACATACCTTAGACTTCATGGATGACTTTTCTGAAATATAATAAACATATCTGGTCAAATTTACAATATTTTCAAAAATATTTTCAATTTAAACACCCGGGTTCATTAAAATAACGTATTGATGAGTGTCAGTACTACATTACAATATATGATAATTAGCATTATACAAAAGTCTAAGCAAATCGGCTGTTATCAACCTCGTTACAGGACACCAAAACTGGTTCTTCGTGTCGTCTTATTGGTTGACATGAATCCCTTACACCAGAAATGTAATTAAAAAAAAGAGAAAATCTTTGGATTTGACCTTCAATCAGACTATATATATTGTTAGAATACTGGGTTGACTTCGTATTATAAATATTGCTAGAATACTGGGTTGACTTTGTATTATGTATATTGTTAGAATACTGGGTTGACTTCGTATTATATATATTGCTAGAATACTGGGTTGACTTCGTATGAAAGACGTTTGTATATCTAAGTAAAAATGTTAGCAAGGTAGTTTTGAGCAAATTTAGAATCTACAACGGAAATTTACTAAATTAATATTTCGTTCTTGCTGTTTTTAGTAAATGAAAAATTTGTTATTCCATCAGTAAAAACGAGTAGCCTTAGTACAAGTGAAAAAAGTTATCATTTGATGATTTAAAAAGTTTATTCTTGAACACACACACAAAAAAGCGCAAACTTACATTTTCTTATTTATTTGTTATTATTTCTTTTGAAATTAAATATATAATATTTGATTATCATCGAGCTAATGGTAAATAAAAAATAATAATAAAAGTCAAAATGTCTTCTTGCGTGCTTAAGAAACTTTCAAATGCATTTATTATGACAAAAATTGCTTGTAAATTTCGGTACATTTAATGATATAATGTATTATTTCGTAAAAAAAAGAAGAAATATTTTTACTGTCATTGAATGCAGTGGGGTTTCACAAAAAGCAACGAATCATTGGATCAAAAAAGAAAATCCGAGCTAAATACGTCATGAAAACAATGTCTCAAACAATATAATAACAATATAAATAACAACTGTATACAAATAATTATGAATAACTTATGAACACGGATAAATTAATATTTTGATTAAAAATAATTTAAAATAAAATGTGTATCCATGTAGTTATAATTGTTTAAATATTTTGAATTTAGTATCATGACTACTGTTTAAATATTTTGAATTTAGTATCATAATAGTTGTTTGTTTGTTGAATTTCGCGCTAGTCAACACCGCTAACCGCCAACTGTTGGGCAACTCTGTATCATAATATAGAAACGTTTAAACAAACGAAGCTCACTAAGCCTAAGAAATATAATTAAAATCGCGTTGCATATCTGTTGAACTGAAATCAGCAACAGACTAACTAAGGGAAATGTGGTACAAAACAACAACAAACAAACACTTGTCGCCACTCTATGTTAGGAATTTTACATAGGTTTTTGGCTGCTATACACCAAGTCGGATCAGCGGTTCATAAACCTCTTCTATATTTTGAAAATTTCAATAAGTTGATGTTGTCGTTACTGAATTATACTTATCAACTAGCAACTAGTGTCGGACTTTACTTTTCTAGAGACTCTAAAAGGTATGCATTGTAAAGACAGAGCCTCAATAAATATATTAAATGTATTTTCATCACATGTGTCGAAATTTCAGTAAAATCGAGCCAATACAAAAAGTGTTAAGATGTGGATTGAAATGAGCCATACAAACTATTATGCGTGTATTATAATAATTATAGATGGATTGTACAGTTGGATTCATGGAACCATCCAAAATGTTCAAAATTATTGAATTGGGAATTGCCGACAAAAATGGAACAGCCAGATTACATAACGAGTTCCGAACAGAGACTCGTGACAGACAAAAAGAAAAAAAAGGAGATAGTTATGATACAATACTTTTATAGATTTCTGATGTTAAGTTCGCTAAGTGTTGATTAGTTAAGGGGGAATCTGGTCAAATACTGCAGTGAAGCCTAATTTTAATCCGACCAAATACTGTAGTCAAGCCTAATTTTAATCTGACCAAATACTGCAGTCAAGCCTAATTTTAATCTGACCAAAATGCTGCAGTCAAGCCTAGTTCTAACCTAACCAAATGCTGAAGTCAACCCTAATTTTAATCTGACCAAAATGCTGCAGTTAAGCCTAGTTCTAACCTAACCAAAGGCTGAAGTCAAACTTAATTTTAATCTGACCAAATACTACAGTAAAGCATAATTTTAATCTGATGAAAATGCTGCAGTCAAACCTAATTCTAATCTACTAAAATGCCGCAGTCAAGTCTAATTTCAATCTGACCAAAATGCTGCAGTCAAGCCTAGTTCTAACCTAACCAAATGCTGAAGTCAAGCCTAATTTTAATCTGACTAAATGCTGCAATCAATCCTGCTTTTAATCACATTGGTTAGAATATACTGAATCTAACGCAAATTAGTTACCTGTAGGACAGTTTGGGAGTTAAAATAAAAAAGACGAACAACACAAAAAGTTATAAACTGATAACGATTAAATTACATTGAATAATCAGCTGGGTACCCTAATCGATCTGTTTGACTGTGATTCTAAAAGTAGTTGCATTTTGTTTGTTTGCTTTGTTGTTAAGCACAAAACTACACAACGGGCTATCTGTACCCTGCCCACCACCATGGTGTCAAAACCCAGTGTGTAGCGTTACGAGCTCTCAGACCTACCGCTGAGCCACTGGGGAGCAATTACTATGCAATAGTAGAGCTAGCTTAGGAAATTCAGGCTAACAGAAATTCCCCAAACATATCTCACAATTCAAAATAATCTTTATAAAAGTATTAGTATTACTGCACGTAAATATATTTGTCTTCTATAGTTTATACAAATATAGATTGTCAACACGTGATACTTTCAGCTGTCTTACATTTGCAGTGATACATATGAAACAACGTAATAAACTAGTGTTGCCCCCCCCCCCCAGTGGCACAGTGGTTTGTCTTCGGACATACAACATAGAATACAGATAGCCCATTGTGTAGTTTTGTGCTTAACATCAAATAAACAATCATCTTAACTATTTATACTAAACACAAAACAAAAATCCTACATCGTTATGCAAAAACTTTTACACTCGTTTGTTTGTTTGAAATTAAGCACAAAGCTACACAATGGGCTATCTGTGCTCAGCCCACCACGGGTATCGAAACCCGAATTTTAGCGTTGTAATTCCGCAAACATACCGCTGTGCCACTGGGGGCTTTACACTCGTGTCCCGTGACATTAGCAATATCATCCACGCGTTCTAAACTTAAACTGACAATGAGCAAGGTCTAGATCCACCTTCTAAAACAACATCTCAAAGCGAAACGTCAAAACTTCGTTTTTTTTCCCTCAATAGCAAACTAGCTGTCACGTGCGTTAATGACACATGCTAGAAAAGTTTTAAGTCCACAATTTTTTTAAATTGTCACAAAGTTGTTGTCGTTTTTTCTTCTTTTTTTTTGCTTTTTTGCCTCACCTTGCATCCTCTTTCAGACGCGGAAAATACAGACGTAGAATGTAAACACTGTACTTAATGTTCTTTAACTCCAAGGACAAATCTTTCAGTCTTCGCCAATAACTTCCCAGAACGTTCAAATATGGCCATGAAAAACCAGCTCAAAAAAGCATAAGAATAAAAATAAGTATAGCCTTCGAGTCAACACTCCTTACAGTCGAAATCAGGAAATGAATCAAAACAACGGTATGTTATTTTGTTTTCCGGTTCACAGAAGTCAGTTACCATGGGCTTAATATTACAACCGCAGAATATGTTCTTATTTTGTATGAAAGTTCAACTATTTATCATTAAATTACCTTAGCGGAAGCAATCAGAACAATATCAACATTTTGCAAATATTTTTAACTATTGCTCTTAAAAAGTTATTACCAGCTCAATTTTGCCCCCCCCCCCTCTCCAGTGGTACAGCGGAATGTCTGCCGGACTTATACAGCTAGAAACTGGGTTTTGATACCCGTGGTGGGCAAAGCACAGATAGGCCTTTGTGTAGCTTTGTGCTTAATAACAAACAATATTAAATTTTGATACACGTACAAAATCTATGTTTAGACCACAACTGAACAAAAGTACTGGAAGACAGAAGCAGTATGAACAGTATTTATTAATATCGATGTTTTACCACAAAATGGAGCTAAAGACACATTTCCTTAGTTCTTAGTTTTTAGTCTCACTGAAACGATTTTACGTGGTGGTTAGCAATCTCAGACTTAGAAAAGTCACTCTAAATAAGTAACTAGTAAATAAGTGATTTGTCGGTCGTTTCACGTACGTTTATATTCTTTCCATTTCAAAATAGTTTGAAACTACGTATTTTGGAACCCTAGTTTTCTACATTTCTCGGTGTTGTGGGGTGTAAAATAACCACTCAAAAAATGTTATGTCGTCGTATATAGGCAGACGGAAATCTGAGCATCGTTTCTATTTTTAAATGTCGGTGTATTTGAAATCTTATCAAAGATTAAACAGGTAACTAATAGTAGTACTAAGTAGGTAACAGAATGGTGGTCATTTTTTTATTTCGCTTGTGTTAATGTTATGTTTCGAAGATTAAATATTAACAGTGAGACATTAATAAGAACAAATAAACAGCGTATTGAACTTTTTTTTTTCATTGGTTACTGTGATGTTGCTGGAAACTTCACTAAGATTAGACATTAACTGTGAAACACTAAAAGCACACATACAGAGTGCTGAGCTTTTTTGTCGTTGATTAAAACTATGTTTCTGGAAACTTCACTAAGATTAGACATTAACTGTGAAACACTAAAAACACACATACAGAGTGCTGAGCTTTTTTGTCGTTGATTAAAACTATGTTTCTGGAAACTTCTTTAAGATCAAACAAATAACTCTTAAATATGAACTATTAAGTAGCGCTGAGCAAATATACAAAGAATTGGGCATTAACTGAAGTAAAAAAGGGCAAACACATAGCTGGCAAATAAAGCTACTAGATATCAATGTTTTTAAAATGTTTCAAGATTCAACATATA